TCACAATAGACATTTATACACCATTGGATAGAGAATTTAAAGGGCTACATTTTGGACTATTTATTTTTTAAAACACTCGAAATCGACTTTTTGGCCTAATGTCCGCTTAGTTGCCCACTGTGTACTCTACAAACTTCTCTCTAGGAACGTGTCATTTGGTATGCAACTTTTTTTGAAACAAATCAGAGAGAAGTGGAGCAAAATCAACTCTCATCTGGTTTAATATCATGTCATACGTTCGCAATCTATTATTGAACCTAGGCCACCTGTAGTACATGGCGACGGAGTGGTGGGGAAGCGCTTCCCCACCGCTCAGAGTAGAGTGTTAAACTCGAAGTAACAACATTCCTAAACTTAAGCTCCTTTCTGTAGCCTTTATTCTTTTTAGGTTATATGAGATAAATACCGAATGTGAGCGAATTTTAAGATCTTGGAGGAAGATGAGCTTGATAACATTATTTAGTTTGTAGCCTTGGACAGTGTCCTCAAACATTATGTTAAAGATATTTCCACCTGACGCAGCTCTTCACGGATACAAGAAACGAATCAATGATCAGTATTCTTTTACAGTCTTTTTCCCTGCCAGTCAAATAATTGATAAACGTGCTAAAAAATCTTATTGGCCTAGCCTACAATAGTTACTGAGAATGAAATTACACTTCGCTGATTACAGATCCATATATATTTTCTCTGTCTCGGTATTAAATGCTACATTTAAGCACATATGGAAGGGGTAGCACTATTATACATAAAGCACTTTTGTTAACTGATCCGCTAAGGAAAGCCGTCAAAAATAAGTCTATGTGTAGATATACATGAATACTGTTCTCTTTCCTTATTCTTTCGCTGGTTTTTGCTGAATGAAAGAAATCGGATATAGATCCATGAGCAGAATGGCACAAATTTTCATTTTGTTATTAGTTACACAATCTAAAGTTGAACTATATTCTTTCTTTTTATAAATAACGTGAATCACGTGGATTCACTTCGTCCATTGACTGTAAGTTGATTTAGTAGCGCAACTAAGGACAACCAGGATTTTACTCCGGTCAATCTCACTATAACCGAATGCACCAACAAATTAAAACATCCAATATCACCATATTTTCGATACACTGCTCGACAAACACCGTAACACTGTCTCTAACAAATTAAGATTCGATGATCCGAAAACTCCGGCTCGAAAGACGGTTAGCTAGTCGTCTAGTTAGCGCTGTACTACTGGTTGGAAATAGCGCAGGTCTCCAAAGTGACAGTTTTTCATACTGCTAATCATTCTCTACATACACCCAACAGGTAGCGTTCCACCGCTACCCACGATGGGTATCAATCTACATCCGGCACGCCAATGTGTCTGTGTATGTACGTCGACCACCCAATGTCCTAAACAGTCGTCGATGACTCTGAAACCCAGACAAGGCTCACACCTCCCTTCGGTGTGAGAACTCCGACATCCCGTGCTCAGAATGTGTATAACTTACACATGTCAGTGCCTTTTTTTTGTTTTTGAGAAAGAAATATAAAGCAAATCTTTTACCTTTCTCAAAGAGTTTCAATTTTTCCTTCTTATCTTGTAACGTGTTTATATTAATGGTACTCTCAAACACACTTTAGAAAATAAAAAAAACATGCTTGTAGTAGTACGTGACTTACTTTTGTTCGGGTTTCTACTCGGTTTCACTGTGTGTACGGATGCTCATCCAAACAGAAATGGACCGTTTGGCAAAACTCGATCACCACACATGCCAAGTCCTTACCATTGTAATCGGTCTATCGGTACCGATAACAGTATCGTTCTTGCAGTATCATCCACCTCATACAATAATAATGATATTCTCAATGTCACTTGGTCGTCAAACACATCTACGCCATCTTGTCCCGATGATTTTATTGGTATATTTTTCCCGGAGCTTTGGGATAATCTAACATGCACCTATTTGGATTACGAATTTATCGGTAATACCAGTGGCACCGAAGGTACTCAACAGTGGCAAATGATCAATTTAAGACAAATACTCGAATTTCGATATTATCAGCGAGAGCAAAACTGTTGCGGGAACTATACACTTCGAGGCCGCTCGCCTAACATTCACGCGAATAATATCAATGAACCGACGCAAATACATATATCATACACAACAAATGCCAGCGAAATGATAGTCACCTACACGACAGCAGCAAATATCAACATGCCTCAAGTTCAATACGGTACATATCCATTCAAATTAGATTCAACTAGTAATGGCACCTCAGACACATACAAAGCATCGGATATGTGCGAAGGAAAAGCGAACATCACCGGGCCACAAAATTATATCGATGTCGGCTACATTCATACTGTTCTTCTTAAAGGTCTATCACCTAATACTCTTTATTTCTATCGTGTTGGAAACGAGATTGAAGGCTGGTCATCCGTTATCCGTTTCAAAAGTAAAAAAGAAGATGGTACGTCGGACGCAGTAGTTTTCATAGCCTATGGTGACATGGGCACATCACCTGTCCAGTCTGGTGCTCAGGGAACTATTGATAATGTGTACAAGAAACTAGAAAATATCGATATGGTCATACATATTGGAGATATTTCGTATGCAAGAGGTACTGGAGCATTGTGGGAAGCTTTTATGAATGAAATAGAACCAATTGCTCAACGAGTACCCTACATGCTCGGTATTGGAAATCATGAATATGATCATGTGGAAGGAGGAAAAAATGATCCGAGCCACGCGTCAGGAGACGGAGGATTCAGGCCAAAATGGTAAGAGTCCTCTGCAAATCATAAAAATGAGTTAACTTTCAACAAATTCTACAATTCTTTTGAAGTTCTTAAGTAGTCAGCCTAACAGGAATAGAGCAGTACCTCTTACTCTATGTTTGGATTAGAATAGTGTACCATGCTCCTCACAAATTCAAACTTTTCTCGCCTTAGCAACTTTGTTATTTCATTTTTATAAAAAGCAGTATAAATCTTGTCGCAAATAATACTTATTTTATAATTTATTTGTTAGCGAAAAAGGTGATAAAATATGATACTTTTTATCTCTTCGAAAATTGAAGGCTAAGAAGAAAACTTAAATAAAGAGATTTCTGTGGTAATGTATCAAAACTTTTCTTTTAAACTAATTTCTTCGACCACAGAGGGCGTAGCGCTTAAAAATATGATTCTGATGCCAAAACATATTGAAAAAAGGATTATTTTAGATACATAGGTGAGAAAAAGTGTCAGAAAAGAACGATGCTATGGAAAACTAAACAAAAAATATTTCAATTTAGATGTAAATTGAATAAAAAAAAGCCATTCAGAAGAACACGCTCCAACACTTCTGCACTTCACCGATATTGTTTTAGAAGTTGGCTAGTATTTATTTAGTTATCTTTTTGTCCAGTTACTAATATAACTAGAGCTTCATGGCTACCTTGTGTAATGTGTTAAGAAAAGTAAATTGGTCGATCTTTTCATCAGAATTGTAAGAAAAAGTTCAAACATTGTGAATGATTTACTATGTTTTAGGGGTAATTACGGATACGATTCCGGTGGTGAATGCGCTGTTCCTATCGTTAAACGTTTCAAAATGCCTCCAAATGGTAATAGCCCGTTCTGGTACAGCTTTAACTTGGGACCCGTTCATTTTCTCATTTACTCGACTGAACACAATTTTACTCGTAATTCTGATCAGTATGTGTGGATTGAAAAGGATTTACGCTCAGTCAATCGTATTCTCACACCTTGGGTAATTACGGCTGGTCACCGACTCATGTACATGACCGAAGAAGGAGAAGCGGATATGCTCATCGGTCTTATGCTTCAGTTACATCTCGAACCATTGTTGTATAAATACGGTGTGGATGTGAACTTTTTTGGTCATAAACATTCCTATGAAAGATCATGTCAAATGTACCAGAATAAATGTAATGAGAAGGGAACGGTTCATTTGTGTATCGGGATGGCCGGACATGATCTGGATACAGCCACATTTGGAAATGCGACATGGAGTCAATATCACGATCAAGTATTTGGTTATTCGCAATTTATTGTCAATCGAACAGATTTACAATTCATGTACTTTCACAATAAAGATGATACGGTGGCCGATCAATTTCATTTGCATAAATAATAGTTGGATGGACATTATATTAAAGGTTTATATTTTTTTTGAGTACTTTTCAATTAAAAAGTAAATAGAAATCTGGAATTTCACAATTCATAGAGGCATGTCTTTTTTATGCTCTTCTGAAAACATAAACTGCTACTTTAAAAATTAAATATCTTGGACATAACTGGTTGTTGCTGCCGAAAATCCAGATGTCAATTCTGTCTTTTGGCTGTTATTGCAAATGAGAGAGAATTTTTCCATAAATTTCGCCACAGAAGCGATGCTTATCTGTCTTACTATTTATATTCACTCTCCACCCTTGGCCCTTTCATTCTTGTCCCCTTTCTTATTTTTGAAAGAGAAAATGAAAAATACAGGATGCTTCCTGACGAGAAGGTGAACCGCTCTTAAATTTCATTTATGCATTTGTCTTCCGAAAAGATACTATTAACTACAACAGAACAAACAAACTGGTGAGAAATAAGGGAAAAAACTGTTGCTAAAAAGAAAAAGCTCCACATTTTCTTTGCTATCGCAGAATACTTAAAGCGAGCATCAAACAGCTGTAACATGCACGATAAATATGCTTTTGTCTGTCTTTTTCTTGCTTTAACAGTTTTTGAGAACGTAGTACTGTAGAAGAGCGAGATAAACAAAATCAATTTTTGTGTCGCTCTAGGTTCAGAATGGTTTAAAAACTTTCTGCCATGATAAAAAGTTTTTCCCTGAGTGTTTTTTGACGGAACTTATGCCCGGATCACGAATGGAAAATATTGTTTATGATACTATATTCACAGATTTTTATAGCGACCAGTGTATTCTTAATTTATAGATTTCACCTATCGACTTTAAAATAAGTATGGCGCGTTCGAAATTGTTCCATACGTTAAATTCTCTCCAAAGACAAAAGTCATCGGGGGTGAACCAGTTAGATAAGCGCCAGTAAAATTCGTTTCAAACTGATCAGAAAGGGCAAGTAAGTCTATGCGACTAGAGACGAAAATACACCATTCATACATGATTTTATTCTGTTTTCAATTTCTTTTTAGCGGTGGTAGTACGAAGCCTACATCCCTTTTCAAACATTAAAATTCATCAATGTGTTCTAAGAGTCAATTCTATGAGAACTATGGATTGGTCCAGTTAGACTTCTATTCGTGAGAATCAAGGACAAATTGCGCTGTTTAAGGTGCAGCTAATGCAAAAATCGAGTGGAATTTTTTTTTGACTTTATTATACATATTCAGATTCAGTTTAACGAGCTGATTACGAATAACACCTTCCGAGCCTCCAAAAGTCATTTCTTCATGGA